GGAGCGGTGGCTGCATAAGGTGAGGCTGAGGCGCGCGAATGCCGATGCCCAACCAGGGGAGCCCAGGATTTAAATCCAGGGAGGTTTTCCTAGGATTTCATGCAAAGGCAGCGTTGGGGGTCAGGATGCAACGCATGGTCCTCCCGCCGGGGGTGCCTGTGGTTGATGGCGGCTTTGCTGCCTTTGCAGGTTGAAGACGGGACCTCCAGGTTCTTCAGGTGGATGCTGGCTGGCGCGGAGGTGCAGCGGGCAGAGTCTGCATCGGCTCCTCCAGCATGCCTGGCAGTGAGCGGGCTGGACCCACAGGTTGGGATCCGTGGGCTGAGCGTGGCCGTGCCCCACGGAGGTGTCTGGGAGCTCGGCAAAGTGCAGCTGGGAGGTTGCTGGGGATGGAGGGAGTCCTGGGGGCTCCTTTGGGATTAAACACACCCTCGGATGAGAAACCTTCCTTGGAGGCACCCAGCTTCAGCCACCCTGTGTCCGTGCCACGAACTGGGTCTGTCTGGCACGTGCTCCTCGTGCCAAGGCCCTGAACACCTCGTCCCCCTCTGCTTTTGGCAGGATGATGTGGCTGTCGTTGCGTGCCCGCTGGGACGGTCACTCAGCCACTCCTTCCTGGAGGACAGGACCACAATCCAGCTCTTGAGGCAGAGGTAAAGCCCCATGGTGCCCACCAGGACCGGCTGGGGATGGGGTAGGACATGCCCCTGCACCGGGCCGGGGAGCTCGGCAGTGGTGGCTGCAGCGCCTGAGGGGACCGGCGCGGTTCTTGCAGCCAAACCCAGGTCTGCTGTGCGCTGAGCGCGTCAGAGGACGAGGCGGCACAGGAACGGCTGGAGCAAATGGAAAACCGGTGAGTTCCCCCCTGCACAGACTTTGGGGGGCTGCCACGTTCCCCGGGGCTCCCCTCGCCCAGACACCCCCCGTGCTCTGGCTTGCTGGCCCTCGGCAGGTTGAAGCCCAGGCTCCCATTCCCCCTGCTCCCCAGAGTTAAAGCCCGTGGGCTTCAAACCCCCATCCCCTGCAAGGAGAAAGGGCTGGTTGACCCTGGTGGAAAGCCAGCCCTTTCACCGCCTGTCTGGGGGGGGGGGGGCCTGCCGCCCCCCCCAGCCCAAAAAACCTAACCTCGGCTTGCTGCAGCATGTCCCGGCTGGTGCTCCAAGCCAAGCCGGACACCAAGCCGGACACCGAGCCGGACACCAATGCCCAGGTCCTGCTTTCGAGCGAAGACTAGGAGGTAAGAGAGCCCCAACCCTGTCCGACGGGGGCAAGGCTGGGCAGTGAGCCGGGTCCCTTGCTGTCTCCCCTGAGACCAGGGATCCAGCCCCATCCGCTGCTGCCTCTTCCCTTTCTCGCCCCCCTCTTTTATCCAGGCTGACCCGCTCTCCGCTCCCCTTTACCGGCTGCCTTTGAAGTTTTTTGCCCCCTTTTTGGCGCTGATTCATCTGGAGGCAGCTCCCCTGCTGATAAAGGCTGTGTACACCGTTGGAGCGTGTGCCTCGTCCAGGACTGCGCGGTGCGCAGTGTGCGGTGCCGCACCGTCCCCAGCCTTGCCGGTGGCTGTGCCACGAGGTGGCAGTGCCGGCTCCCC